ATAGATAGATAGATAGATAGATAGATAGATAGATAGATAGATAGATAGATAGATAGATAGATAGATAGATAGATAGATAGATAGATAGATAGATAGATAGATAGATAGATAGATAGATAGATAGATAGATAGATAGATAGATAGATAGATAGATAGATAGATAGATAGATAGATAGATAGATAGATAGATAGATAGATAGATAGATAGATAGATAGATAGATTAGATAGATAGATTAGATAGATAGATTAGATAGATAGATTAGATAGATAGATTAGATAGATAGATTAGATAGATAGATTAGATAGATAGAATAGATAGATAGATTAGATAGATAGATTAGATAGATAGATTAGATAGATAGATTAGATAGATAGATAGATAGATAGATAGATAGATAGATAGATAGATAGATAGATAGATAGATAGATAGATAGATAGATAGATAGATAGATAGATAGATAGATAGATAGATAGATAGATAGATAGATAGATAGATAGATAGATAGATAGATAGATAGATAGATAGATAGATAAGATAAGATAAGATAAGATAAGATAAGATAAGATAAGATAAGATAAGATTAGAGAGATTAGAGAGATTAGAGAGATTAGAGAGATTAGAGAGATTAGAGAGATTAGAGAGAGAGAGAGAGAGAGAGAGAGAGAGAGAGAGAGAGGGGGGGGACAGGACTCCGTTTAGCTCTTGTTGTCAATGTGAGCTAATAAATATGTGGTTCTGATGGGGGTACAGAAATAGTGCAATGAAATGAAGGCAGTTAAAGTACGGTAATAAAAAAACAGAGACGCAAAATTACATGTGACATTGGATGTGTAGGAAATGTAGGGGGAAAACAAAGAAGAAACACAGTCATCCAAAAAACAAAAACAAAAACAACAAAAACTGAACATAGTAGGCCCAGTACAGTTGACTGATTTTATAGAACATGGAAGAATCAAATGTTTGGTCATCTGGTCAGGATGTAACAAAGTCAGTTAGCAGCTAGAGTGGACACTATGAGACTACCAGGGTCACAAGTCACAGCGGCTCCCTGTAAATTGTAATAGCAAGCCTAACTCAGACTAAAGACACTGATATGCTTGGAAAAGGGAATAAACCAAAGGGAAGACAGTAAGATCAATCGGACGTGCGGGGTAATAAGAAAGCGGATAGACTGGATGCTGTCGATCCTCTAAATGATGATCTACTTTATGAGCTAAGCCTCTCCGAGATCAGTGCATCCTTACCTTGAAAGGCTATTACAGCGTGGGTGAGTTTCTGAAGATAGATTTATTACTGAGGGGGGAAACAGGTTACTACCTCATCTATTGGGATATCAAGTCTTCTTTGACTACGTAGGAGTGAGACGGAGCTTGTGTGCGAATGTCCCAAGTGCAGGGGTATCAATACCTGATTCATCCATTCATTGATTGGTTTGGCCACAAGACCAAATCAGATACCTTGAATCAGCAGCACTCAAACGACTAAAGATTTTCAGGTCAAAAGAGGTGTCGCCAAACATGAACACACTATAGAGGGAGCCAAAGAAGAATAGTAAACCAACATAGAACTAGTGTTATTAGTCGCCACACGCTGGGGGATATACTGAAGATGGGATCCGAGCGCTTATGGATTTGTCCGATGTACAATGAGCATATTCTTTCGATTACCTTTTAACTTTTAACTTTTACCCAAACTAAACAATATCACACACCTGATAGGTGATGCCAAAGCGCGACTTCATGTTTGTTTACACAACACATGATGTTAATGCTAATTAAATGAGTACACCCCCCCCCCCCCCCCCCCCCCCCCCCCATCCAACCCCACCTTTTTCCCCGAAAAAAAAAAATACGAAATTCCACTAATTTAACATCCTATGTCCCGTCATCACGTAGCAGGCCCTCTTCAAAACGTGGATATCATCACAGTCTGCCTGAAAGAAACTCGGTCTCTCGCCAGTTCTCCCACCTCATGTACTTTCATACTCAAGGAGTCACTTATATCCTGTGCCCATCTTCGTGTCGGTCGGCCCCTGCCCCTCCTTTCTGGAACCATGCCTTCTGCTATAATTTGTTTCCAATCCGTCGTGGCGCTTGATGGGACCAAAATATTTCAGCTTCCGAGACATGATGCTGTTTATTAGCCAATCTTCCTTCATGTTCACATCTTTTAAGATGTCACTGTTTCTCCTCTTCTTTGTTCAAGATATTCTGAGAATCTTTCTAAAGCATTACAGCTCAAAAGCCTCTAGTCCGTACTCTAAGAAAATATTATCGCTGTCTCTAATTTATTTAACGTGAAACTAAACCCACTAGGAGATGTGATTTTACAGAAGAATCCGTAGAATGATGTTTGAAAGAAGCGAGGGCTTCAAGACAACTTATCACAAACTTCAGAAAGAGACATTCGTCATGTTGTGGCCATGTTATGAGAAGAAGGAAACTGGAACATGTTACAACCACTGGAAAGATCTGGGGGGGGGGGGGGGGAGACAGATCAAGACAACGTGAGACGATTCTGAGTTTTATCAACATCCTACCCCAAACAGGGGGAATCTACAGGTCACGGGACAGTCGAATATTTAAGGGGAGGGGGGTGGTAGATAGGCTGCATGCAGTCGTGGGGCCTAGGCTGCATGCGGTCGTGGGACCTAGGCTGCACTCTCTCTCGTGAAACGCAGGTAGGCTGGGGTTTGGGCCAGTTCCAAATGTTTTAGGGTCGTTAAAAGCATCAGAAAGCCAGGAAACCCAGTCTTACCACTCTCGAAAATGTTGGACTGTCCTTTGACATTATCTGGGGTAGGATAATAATAAAGCACCGACGATTCTCCAACAGCCTTCTGTCGTGGCATGGAAGAGTGCACCATACGAACTGATACATTTTGTTAAGGGTAGCAGACCGAGAAGAGACATGATCGTCCACGCCAGTCGGCAAGACATTTGATGATGACGAATGTCATCCGTTTCTCAGGTATGGTCATCCGCACAGACGTACTGGTCGGGGAAATAAGAGATTTCTTCTGTATGGATTGCGCTTATACTTGGCTTGTTAGTCCCCTGTCGATTAGTGAGCTCCATTTAGTGGTGAGGAGGGGCGGGGTGAGATAGATCTACTGCCACCCAAACAAGTATGACGTAAAAGGCGACTGAATAGCGGTATTTCCTCCGAAGGTGGGGTGCATCAATCTGAGTGGCGAGAAACCAACAGTCTGAAGAACGGTTGAATACGCAGAAAGCTTTAGTTATGGAAGATGAAAAAAAAAAAAAGTCAGGAACAACCAGAATTGTCCACCGAAGTTTACAGCCGGTAAACGTGAAGTAGTAGCAGAAAAAAATGATTAATTTTTAAGAAAGAGACATCTTCTTTGGCTTTGGACAAACAAAATATTCAAGAACATCTCAGCGTCTTCTTGTCATTAACTGTAAACGACGTAGGAAAGTCCTCGTTGTTCGTCCATTTCTGGACTTTGGTGTTGTTCCAAAATTTGATGTTTGCGCGCACACCCGTTTTACAGATCTGGCTTACTTGTGTGCAGACCTTGAAGCCCCACTCTGGCTATTGCCAGAGGCCCTAATATAAACTAACGGTTGAACGGGGTTTCCGGTACCTCTCCTGGGTGATCCTCATACGCATGGTAGCACTTTGAGTCACCGGGTGTTTAACGCTTTGTGTAGTGTCCTGGTGGAGTAAAACTTACTTCCTCACTCACTGTTGGTTTCTCGCCTCTCAGGCAAATGCACTCAGACCTGGAAGGAAATACTTCTCATTAGTGGCTTTTACGACATGCTTATAATGGGGGTAGAGTTCTGTTTTCTTTTCCTACCAAAATAGAGCGCGGGGCGCTGACGGGAAGAATAAGAGGTTCAAGCGGCAAAGTGGACTGATGGACTTAAAACGAAAATTCTGGATTGTCTCAGAGGAAGAGATGTTTATGATAGCGTGATTTGAACTGGCCATAGAATATATCACAGACCACCGCGTGGGCAGAATTTGGAGTTTAATATCTACCCAAAGCATTTCAGGATCCGCGCCGGTGCAACGGAGTTCGTACACTGCGCTGAAATCTTTAGATTCAGGCTTGAGTTAGAAGCAGAACGGAGCACTTATAGGTTACACAAGTGTGCCATGACGTTGATCTGTCGAATAAACGAACATAAATCAATGACTGACAAATTTTCAAACACAATCTGGCGAAAGCAAAATCCTGAGGATGTCTACAGTTAATATATTATTGCTCTCTCCCCCCACCCCTCCCTTCCTTTTTTGTTGTAGATTATTATTTCAGGTTTATTTAAAGATAATTTTATAATTTGTTTAGATTTTGCAATAAGCATTAATATATATATTTATATATATCAACATATATGTATAGTAAGCGGAAGACCGCAGCTTGCTATGCATGTTTTACCTATGACTTTCCTGATTTGTTGTTAACAATCGATTATTATTAGTTACCCTTAATGTTTTGCTATCTCAATCACAAATCCTGTTTACTTTAAATTTTACAGCTAGTTCTCAAGTAAATAACAGCGATTGTCTACGGAAGTGGGAACAGTTTGACATTGCTGGAAGAAAATAGAATTATATTTTTCTAAAAAAACAATGAAACGACGCAATGGATTGAGTGTTTCGTTGAGTGCACAATGAACATTCAGTGGACTTCTCCTGTGTTTATCTGCATCAAAGCATTTCTCTGTTACTTCCCAAACTTAAATGGATTAATTAACCTCTTCATCCTCGCGGATTTCGCTCCTAATTAATTCATTCGCAAGCCAGTTATGATGTTGTTTTAACAATGTCTCTAGAATACTAACAGACGCCTCGTATGTTTTGTATTTTTAAAAGCATATTTGCTTCAACATTGTAAGGAAATCTGGCTTCCACAAGTGCCACTTCCGGTGTTTGTTTAACCTCTTTAAAATCAATGTTTTTGTAAACAAAACTTTTTCTGACAATTACCAGGAAACAATTTGGTTTTGAAACAGTGAAGGTCAACAATGCTGGACCACTGTGAAAAAGTCTGTGCTCTACAATGTGTGCGTCAGCCATCCCCAAGCGGAGTGCTTCGAGTGCAAGAAATCACCAGGTGTCTGATATATCTGTGCGGCATTACGCTGCGGATGGACGACAGTGCGGACTTGATCGAGTCCTTGGATCAGGATGTCTTGATTGGCAACTACTCAGCTGATTCCCAGAACAACACCTGCCTTTTAGGCCGACCAGAGCGCTTGGATTTGGATCAACCCCCTCGGTGAGTTTACACAATCTACAATAAAACATCCCTAATGCTAACTTTTTAAAGAAGAACTCTCGATTAAAAGTGTCCAAATGACGGTACTAGCATGGTTATGAAATTACTGTTTTTAGTGCTCGGTTATCTTTATATTTGTTTTAGCACGAACTGAGTTTTCGGTCTTCTAAGTTAGTGCTAACGAGGTTTTACTACACGAACTTAAGAAAAACATTTGATTAGAAAGAAACACTATAATTATTTTAAGTCCGCCTTTAGCATGATTTGTTTTTTAAAAACTTTGAAACTCGATTTTTGGTTCCTTGAAATTAGTGTTTTTAACGGTTTACTGTATTATAATGTTTTCCAATCGAATATTTTTTCTTGTTTTGAGATAGTCTTTTCTTCGTCGAAACATGCTTAATCATTAGTCCCATATTACGACGAATGTTTTAACAAAAACTAGAGTTTGTCTCCCCCCCCCCCCCCCCCTTATAATTAATGTTAACGAAATGTTACTGTATTAGAGTGTGTGTGTTATTTTTCCTAATGTAAAATTTTGTTAAAACTGTTAGAATGTGTCTGTTCTTCGTCCCTAGCAGGGATGTATGATTATTGTTGTAAGGCACCGGTTATCATAAATGTTTTTTTTTTTTCAAACAATATTATGAATTTTGGTCAATTTGAATTCATTTTAACAAGGTTAAACTGTATTAGATTGTTTTTAATTTAATTGTTTTGATTCTTTTAGATAATCTGTTCTCAGTCCCAGCATGTTTTATCACTAACACGAGTCCTGGTCACTTCGTGTTAACGAGGTTTTACTATGTTAGATTGTTTTTAATTTAATTTTTTTACGTTCTTAAATAGTCTTTTGTCTGTGCCAGCAGGATTATTGCTATTAATCCCGCGGTTACCAATACTGTTTTTATCCCAATTTGGTTTTAGGTCCCTTTTTTTACTATACGATTTCGCTTAAGGAGAATTATCGGTTAACACGAATAAAATATTGGTCCTAGCAGAGATATGTTATTCTTATTTGTTTCAGCCGTTAACAATTTTTTTTTTTAAATGTGAACTAGATTTTCGGTTCCTTCCGATACTCGTTTATGACATATTACTTTGTTCCACTTAGGACGTTGCGGTATCTTTGTTAAAAACTGCCAAAAATGCCAATTACTGCCTTTATTTATACCACGTTTGCGGTGTAGGTCTTTCAGCCTGAGGATTTACGGCCCCCAGATTGTCACCACGAGTGTAAGGTTGTTTTTTTTTTGTGTGCCCCCGACAGAAAAACAATCCCTAGCCTCACCGAGGATTCGAACCCGGGTCTCCGGCTTAAACGCCCAGCTTTCTAACCGTTCAGCCAGCCGCTGCTCTTTCATTGTTAAAAGAGTAAATCTCACATAGCACGAGATCATTTTACCGGTTGGAACGCCTTCTAGCTCTTGAGCTGCTACCTTGGTTTCCATACAAATAGATACATAGAAAATAGATACCAGGGCTACCAATGCTGGGTTTTTTCCCCCAGATCTGGGTTTTTATTTGACGCTATGTGGAAATCTGTTTTTTTTTTTTTTTAAATAAATCCTTTTATAAAAGTGGTAAATGTTTCGTTTGGTAAATATAGTTTGTACATTTTAACAATCTGGTTTTTTTTTGGGGGGGGGGGGGGGGGGGGGGGGGGGGGTGTGGTTATGTATTGATTGGGTTTTTGTTCAGCTAAGCTGGGTTTCAAACAAATCCATTTGGAAGCCCTGCTTCATACCATTTCCTCTTCTTTTTCCTTTCCTTCCCGGACTGTAAATTCAGTCGGAAAGTTTTTATCGTTAGTCCACTTCTTGAATTTAGTCGCGATCCAGACTTTGTGTTTTGCATCCAATCCATTTCATAGCTCTTGTTTATTTGTGAGCCGACTGTTTGTGTCTCATATCTCATGGTGATATACTCTGTTTTCGAGGGAAACACCTCTTTCACCTGCTGTGGCCTGCTTTTATTTGGGCTGTGGATCTAATCCTTGTTTCCTGAACTGAGGCGTTGGAACGCACACAGGAACTCCATACACCAACTGAAACCTGGGTGATTTAATAATATCCTACCCCAAACAGGGGAAATCCACAGGTCACGGGACAGACTAATATTTCAGGGGGTGGTAGATAGGCTGCATACAGTCGTGGGACCTAGGCTGCATGAAGTAGTGGGACCTAGTCTGTACTCTCTCGTGGGATGTAGGTGGGTTGGGGTTAGGACCAGTTATATATGTTTTGGGGTCGTTAAAAGCATCAGAAAGCCGCGAAATCCAGTCGCGTCCTGTGACATCGTCTGGGGTAGAATATTAATAAATAACCGAAACCTCTTGGTGTCATTAGCAGCCTGTGAAACATTCTTGTCACTTGTCAAAACCGTTTAATTTTTTCTGACAAATGCACGACGCGGCTTTCACTTTTTCCATGGCAATATGTCTCCATTTTTTTACTCTGCCACAAATTGTATGTGTGTTTCTATCAGCTGTTCTTAAGCAACTCATTTCACGTGTTGCAATCGTCCATTTAGTTTAAATCCTTCTTTGGCCATAGGTGTTCTCTTGAAAAACAAAACATTAAACGATAAACGTGATGAGGAGACAACTCGCAAATTTGATGATGAGTGAGGTTTTCAGATAATACGTGTTGAGGTGGAAACCTCGCATGGCTAATGGAAACCGTACTAAAAATGAAATAATTTCGCTGGAATTCTGTTTCTTCTGCAGCGTTCGCCGTTAAATGAGCGCATGGCACGTTATGTTGTGGTTTACAGCAAGGCTGTGATATATAAACATTTCAGTCCAACACATCATATTTCATCTCAGATTTCTTACCGTTGGGTAGAACATTTCTTTTCAGCAAATTCTTGGTTAGTGGCCTTTTATGACATGTTTGTATGTATCTCGGCCTACTATAGCTTTTTAAAAGGCCATCCAGGTCTATGGAAATTCCCGTTTGTATAGAACTTTTGTGGGGCCGATGTGTGTTCACTTTGTTCATCGAGTAGATTTAAACACAAATTAAACTACAGTTTCATTAATTTATCTATTCATTAACTACTTCTTTTATAATAACAGTTTAAATCCCACTAGTCGTTCTCGATTTACCTCCATTAGGATTAGACCATCACATGCTATATGAACCCTATACGTGGAACTCAAATGAAAGGAAATGCGGCAAATATCTAGACTGCTACTGATGGAACTGAGAAATTTAAGCTAAATGCTAGTGGTGGGATATACAGTCGGACAGTTACAGAGGCCATGGGAGATGTAACTTTTCGTTAGCTGTTAGAATGGGGACGGAGCGCTTGTGGGAGTGTCCAGTGCTATGATGTCTATTTCTAATTCAACAATCAACATTGCCAACAGACTCAACTTACGCTAAGATAAGACAATAAAATTTAGCAGACCAGACGACAAGTCAGCTTCACATGAGAAGCACAAACGACAAAGGGACGTTGTGACTGAAAAGCCCTTATCAGTTCATTACATGAAAAGACAATACCAAAAGTATGAACAGGACCATACATAGACACTTAACTGAAGTATGGTCGACAGAAACGTTTTTTTATAACCGGCTAGTTAAATCTCTTACACGCGTGTGATTACCGTAAATGAATACTAGAGAGACAAAGCTGGGACTGGCAACAGTATAAATATTTTTAAGTCTGTGTCAGACGTCGGCTTTGTGGCTAAGTCGATGAGAACGCTTCGTAATGCCGGAATGCCGTGTTCGATCCCAACTGCAGGCCATGCGCCTTCCGTTGGTTTCGACAGTGGTATTAAGAAAAGCCGACCGTCCAGTAAACAATGGCAAACTACTAGACGTAAATCTGCCTTTTAAAACCACACAACAGCCATGGGCTGTTGGGGTTGGTTCTGCAACGTCCTGTAAAGGATACGCAACTAACCTGTGTCAGACGTTAGGTTTCCCAGGCTAGTTGAAGCCCATTAGATAAGGCGATTTTCTCAAGAGACTTACGGACTCTGTGATTGGAGTGACTAGATTTGATGTCTGCAGTAACCTCATTGTTGAAGACACCTTAGTGACCCTAACAACTGAAAAGCACAGTCACCTGTTTGAGGGCACTAATCTGCAGATCAGAAAGATGTTGCCCGAACTTCTTAGCTAAACGTAGCTCATTATTGTTTAGTCTTATATTTATTATTATATTTATTTATTGGTTTGTTTGTTATAGATATTATTTGGGTTGCGTGGTGCAAATTAACTTTCCGTATAACGTGTTTAGCAAACAAAGCATTCTCAATAATTTTCAGTTTAATAAACATTTGGTTTTCTCTGTCCGCAGATACTCAGTACCCCTCCAAGGATACTTCTCTCCGGTTCTAGTGTTCCTTACAATAATCAACAATTCTCTAGTCTGCATAGTCTTACTGAAACCACACATGCGCAGTCCTACGAACGCTATTCTCGTTGCCATGGCATTGTCCGACATGTTTACAGGACTATTTCCGGTTCCTGTGTTTCTGTACTTCTACGCTACAGAGAGGTACTACGAATGGGTGCCGTATAACTGGTGTTTCGCCCTTAGTGTTTTCCGGGTTCATATTCCCACAATTTTCCATACTGCCTCCATATGGCTTACCATGGCTTTAGCCATCCAACGTTATATTTACGTCTGCCACTCGTTCAAGGCCAGAACGTGGTGCACAATCAGAAATGTCGTTATCGGAACGATCGCCATCTACGCCATTGCCACCATAAGCCAGATCTCATGCTTCTTTGAGCTCCGACCTGTGGAGACTTTTCGGAAATCAGTGCTGGACCCCAACAAGACAGTATCTGCGTGTATTCTGGAGTATCGTCCATGGGTGAGGCAACATATTAATCTTTACTACAGCACCTACTTCTGGTCAAGGGTCATCTTTATTCACCTGATACCTTGTGTGTCCTTGGTTGTCATGAACGCCCTTCTCATCTATGCCATGAAGAAGGCGCAGCAGAGGAGGATGCAGTTGCTACGGCAGAACAAGAAGAGCGAGAGTAGGAAGTTGAAGGAGTCCAACTGTACAACGCTAATGCTGGTGGCCGTTGTGGGGCTCTTTTTACTAGTTGAGTTTCCGCTAGGCCTTCTGATGGTGTTTGTGATTCTCGATAAAGCCTTCGGGATTGTCATCATACATGCGGAAACAGTGCAAGTGAGTATATGTGTGTCTTCTTCTTCTGCCTTTCTATCCCCCAATAGAGCATAAGACCTCAATCAACTCACACCAAGTCGTTCTAACCTTCGCCATTGCATGTAGCTCTTACCATGTCCTCCCCATCTTTCTAACCTCATTCTCCAGCTCTCTTCTCCATGTGTTTTTTGGCTTTCTTTTTTTTTCCTATGCCAATGTGGGTTCCAATGCAAAGACATTCTAGTTATGCTGTTCTCATGTTTTCTCAGTGTGTGTCCTATCCAACACCAGCGTCTTTTCCTCACCTCTTGGTCCACTGGAGAAAAAAAAATCTTCACCTACACAGTCGTGGCCATGCGGCCGTAATTCGCTAGGCTCAAAGACACCCCCCTCCCCCCCCCCACCCCTTCCTTTCCCTTTTGCATACACGTTTAATCAGTTCACACCCTTCTGTCTCGCGTACGTTTAATCAGTTCACACCCTTCTGTCTCGCGTACGTTTAATTAGTTCACACCCTTCTGTCTCGCGTACGTTTAATTAGTTCACACCCTTCTGTCTCGCGTACGTTTAATCACTTCACAGCCTTCTGTCTCGCGTACGTTTAATCAGTTCACACCCTTCTGTCTCGCGTACATTTAATTAGTTCACACCCTTCTGTCTCGCGTACGTTTAATTAGTTCCAACCCTTCTGTCTCGCGTACGTTTAATCAGTCACAGCCTTCTGTCTCGCGTACGTTTAATTAGTTCACACCCTTCTGTCTCGCGTACGTTTAATTAGTTCACACCCTTCTGTCTCGCGTACGTTTAATCAGTTCACACCCTTCTGTCTCGCGTACGTTTAATCAGTTCACAGCCTTCTGTCTCGCGTACGTTTAATTAGTTCACACCCTTCTGTCTCGCGTACGTTTAATCAGTTCACACCCTTCTGTCTCGCGTACGTTTAATCAGTTCACAGCCTTCTGTCTCGCGTACATTTAATTAGTTCACACCCTTCTGTCTCGCGTACGTTTAATTAGTTCACACCCTTCTGTCTCGCGTACGTTTAATCAGTTCACACCCTTCTGTCTCGCGTACGTTTAATCAGTTCACAGCCTTCTGTCTCGCGTACGTTTAATTAGTTCACAGCCTTCTGTCTCGCGTACGTTTAATTAGTTCACAGCCTTCTGTCTCGCGTACGTTTAATTAGTTCTGATAGATGATCTTTTATGCCATGATAGTAAGACTGTCCAGCATCTTTCTCTGTCGGTCTCCCTCTGTTTCTCTTCCCCTCCACCTTTCCCGGTATGACGATGTATTCCAGATTTGGCCCGCGTTATCGCAGTCGATAGGAGACTAGCTTTTAAATCCCGCTGCCGGTGTTCGAAACTAGGCATTTTCCCGGGTTCACTTAGCTTTTAGTTAATGGGTACCAGAGTTAACACTCTGGGGTAAATGAAGGAACGTCGCTGTAGCTACGGAGTAGCGTGCGCATGGCGACACAGGTATATGGTTTATAACCGTGTTCAGTGACGCTGGTTCACATCTCCCGACGTTACCTTTACCTATACCTTTATTCCATATGTTCTTTTTCTTGTTATCTGACTAAAGACTGAAGACTGGTTTATTCTGCTGTGGATAATCTGTTCTCTTCATGAGTAAATCTCTTTCCAGACACCTTCTTGACTCGCTTTATCTTTGAATTGTGTCCTCGCCAATCGCTTGGAAGGTTATAGCTTGAAGTCGAGACGATCGATTGCACCGGGTTTTTATTCGGTCGACCCGAAGAATGGTTAGCCGCTTATCGAGAGCGTTGCACAAAGCACGAACACCGCGGCTGTTGCGACGAATCTCAGGGGTTTCTGTTACAATTTGTAAGCGTGAACAGAACGACACAGCCGTGTCACGAATCCACGACCTTCAGAGCTGGAGGCGAATGGTTTGACCACTTCCCTACACTTCGTCTGTTAAACTACCCCTCGTTTAAATTACAGTGATATTTTTGTACATCTTCATCAACCATCATCATCATTCGTCATCATCACAATGATCATCTGACTTTGTCTCGTTGTTGGTTCTGGGGCCATACTGGAGGAATACCCAACAAGCATGTCGTAAAAATAGACTTATTATGAGCATTTCCTCTGAAATCAAAGTACAACTGCCAAGACCAAGAACCAATAATCTGCATCAGAGAAGCCAAATTTGTAAAACGCATGTGCAAACAAAGATGAACTTCTGGAACAAGACAAGTACAGAAACCAAAGAAACACTAGAACTTTCTGCCCGAGTTTACAGCTAGGGAACGCTAAGGAGAAATAGGGGAAGATCATTCTGCTTTGCGGTTCATAAAAGGTGGGATAATCGAGTATCTAGTCGTCTGCCATAGGGTCTAGATAATATAAAGAAACAGAGAAATAGTATAAAAATCGAACGTAAAAATCGAACCAGACAAACAAACAAGAGCGTGTTGAATAAAAGATTTTTAAAAACTAAAACTTCAAATGGTTTTGAAGTCGAATGTTAACTTTATTGATTTGGGTTTGATTATTTGGCTCGGTCTCTCTCCACAGAACGACTGGTGTATCACATGAAAGCTTTGCACAAATGACAAATTCCGTAGCTTGAGCAACGAACCTCAGAAATCTCAGACAAATCTGCATCTGAAAACCGAAGGATATTGTTCGGAATCAAACCCAAATCCTTCAGAGCACACGGCTTAACCACAGCTGTCACTTCTACGGTGTATTTCGTAATGACCCGCATTAATATCCCATACATCCGTTTACCCTTGAGACAGTGATTGAAGTGTCTGAGGAAATCTCGTCTGACAGCATAAGTTTCATTTTAGTGCCAGGAATCGCTGGCGTAAGAGGAAATGAAGGAGCGGACTGGCTGGCTGGCAGGACTAGGCTAGCCACATGGAGCAGGCCTATTTCCCATGGCTCTCAAGGAGGCCGAGGGAATATAGGCATCAGGAGACGACGATGAGTCGGCAACCTTGACAAGGTTACAAGAATTTCATGTCAAAAAGACGTGTGCTAGACCCGAAACACTACTTCGGTAGCCAAAGAAGAATAGTGAAAGAACACAGAACCAGTGTTATTAGTCGCCACACGCTGAGTGGGACCCAGAATCGGTTGCTAGCGCTTAGGGACTTGTCCTATGTGCGATGAGAATGATCGGTCAGTTAAATAACTGACTGACTTACCATGGCGTGATGCTGACCACATCACTCATCTTGTGCCGTTGGTCTACAAAATATAGGTCTAGCCCTATATGCCCTATACGCCTAAATTCGTGGAAAAGGGTCCTTTACTTTTTACTTACTTTTACTCACCATCCGTCTACCCCTGGTCACAAATCTATATCTATGCAGTCATTATGACGCTAAAGATCGCAATCCATGACACGACATACCTGCTGCCTTGTCATCTTGTCCAAAGTGTTGTTTCACGCACCCATGTTGAATTCACTCAGTGTCATTCTGATTGGTACATGTGACATAACGGCGTCCGTGGATTGTCCATTGCGAGTCCGCAGTTCCAACGTACCACGATCAAAACCCCACTGCTGGCTGAGGGAATTTTATCATGGTATGGGACGTCGCAGGTTCGACCCAGCCTAAAATGGGTACCACGATGTACGTCTTAGTGAAGTAACGACGACCGACGTAATGCTGACCACATTACCCACCTTGTGACCATGGCCTGTAAAAACATGGGCTCTCTTCCCGTATACCCGATACGCCTGCAGGCTTGAACGGGGATTTTTTTTTTTATTTTATTATTTTTAACCATTACTTGCATGCGACACAATTCGTCACATTTTTTTTATATATACGGTAGGGGTTTTCTCAGTACCCGGTGTTAACTTGCACCTGTTTGGTAGGACACGTGTTTTTTTTTACCGTCACACAGTAACTTAACTTCAGGCAACTTTACGGGTGCTCCGTCTTGTACTTCTTGTTGTTGTTCTTGTTGTTTGATGTTGTTTGTTGTTGTTTCTTCTTCTTCTTCTTCTTCTTCTTCTTCTTCTTCTTCTTCTTCTTCTTCTTCTTCTTCTTCTTCTTCTTCTTCTTCTTCTTCTTCTTCTTCTTCTTCTTCTTCTGCTTCTTCTTCTTCTGTCTTTCTTCTTCTGCTTCTTCTTCCTTTTCTTTTCTTCGTTTTTTCTTCTTTCTCGTCTTCTTCGTACTTCTTCTTTCTTCTTCTTCTTCTTCTTCTTCTTCTTCTTCTTCTTCTTTCTCTTCTTCTTCTTCTTCTTCTTAGGATATCTTCTTCTTCAGGATTCTTCTTCTTCTTTCTTCTCTTCTTCGAGTCTTCTTCTTCTTCTTCTTCTTAGGAGGAGAGGGAGGGAGGAGGAGGTTCTTCTTCTTCTTCTTCTTCGGCAGGAGGAGGAGGAAGGAGGAGGGAGGATGAGGAGGAGGAGGAGGAGACTTTAGGAGGATGAGGAGGAAGAGGAGGAGGAGCGAGGAGGATGAGGAGGAGGAGGAGGAGGAGGCGTTCTTCTTCTGAGGAGGGAGTAGGAGAGGAGGCTTCTTCTCTTCTTCGTATGAGGAGGAGGAGGAGGAGGAGGAGGAGGAGGAGGAGGAGGAGGCTCTTCTTCTTTCTTCTTCTTCTCTTTCTTCTTCTTTCTTCTTCTCTTCTTCTTCTTCTTCTTCTTCTTCTTCTTCTTGGACTTCTGAGGAGGCGGAGAGGAGGCTTCTTCTTTCTTCTTCTTCTTATTCTTCTTCGATATTTCTTCTTCTTAGGCTTCTTCTTATTCTTCTTCTTCTTACTCTTCTTCTTAGGATGGAGGAGGCTTCTTCTTCTATTCTTCTTCTTCTCTTCTTCTTTCTTCTTCTTCTTCTTCTTCTTATTAGGCGGTCTTCTTCTTCTTCTTCTTCTTCTTCTTCTTCTTATTCTTCTTCTTCTTCTTCCTTCTTCTTCTTCTTCTTCTTTCTTCTTCTTCTTCTTCTTCTTCTTCTTCTTCTTCTTCTTCTTCTTCTTCTTCTTCTTCTTCTTCTTCTTCTTCTTCTCCTCCTTCTCTCCCCTTCCTCCTCCTTC